TTGGCGCCAAGAGGGGGCAGTTCCAGTACAAAACTTTGCTCAAGAGACTGCAGGCACTGAAAGGACGAGTGCAAGAGTGGTTAAAGGCCACACGTGAACGGAGCGAATGAGTGGCTGAACTTTTGTGTTGCGGCCCCGGAAAGGAGTCAATGGTCGAATCTGTAACGTTTTTTTTTCTAATTTCTGCGGAGTTATCTCGGGACTGAATAAAAGAAGACAGGCACATTAAACAATCTTCACGCCGCCTGTAACAATGACGTTATATTTGATTCGGGGTCGTTCGTTTTGACATTTATTTACGTTATGGAAATGCAAAATACTAATAAAGATAAGTGGAACAACAAAGGGCTGTTGTTTTTGTGCCGTCGAACAAAACATGATCAATCTGAAATAAAAACATGAAATGAAAAGTAAATGGTAAAATAACAATCAATCTTCTACTTAAATACAAGATAAGGATTCCTAAACGCCCATAAAGTTGCGTATGGTATGGTATGAAAAAACTTTATTTACGTCCGTCGGGGCGTGAACTAGCACGTAGCGGGCCGCTCCCACGTCGGGACAAATATGCCTAACCTCTCCGTCATGTCCTGGGCCCGTTGGAGCTTCCTACTTGGACAATGTAACGTTTTCAACACAAAATGGAAGGCACTGCCAGAGCATATAATCTAGTTTGGCAAAGTCTGAGCAAAGCACGCATCAGTGTGACGCCTGAATTTCTTGATAAATTTTGTGCAAGAGTGTGGGACTGGGATGTGCCCCGACAAAAATTTTGTTCGAAATAAAAATATTTTCGGGGGAGGGATGCAGCTGCCTATCTTCGGCTTTGTATGCCACAGATTAAAAAAAATTGAGGGGGGTGGCACGGGTCCGGTGTGCCACATCCTGGCTATAGCCTATATGTCATAAGACAGACAGACAGACAGACAGACAGACAGACAGACAGACAGACAGACAGACAGACAGACAGACAGACAGACAGGACAGACAGACAGACAGACAGACAGACAGATAGATAGATAGATAGATAGATAGATAGATAGATAGATAGATAGATAGATAGATAGATAGATAGATAGATAGATAGATAGATAGATAGATAGATAGATAGATAGATAGATAGATAGATAGATAGATAGATAGATAGATAGATAGATAGATAGGGAATAGAGCACGAAAAACAATAAAGGGTAAATATCGTAGAGTTAGGTGCTACTTACAAGTCAACAAATAAATAAGTACACATATTTACGAAAATGATTGTGTATACCTAAATAAGGCGTATCAGAAAGGTAGTGCCATAGCAAGGGCCCATGCTCCTCCCTCTCTCCTCAGATTTTTTTTTTTTTTTTGATGCGAAGCATTTTTTGTCGAACTTCGGCGACTTTGACCGTATCTGTCTATATAGCAGCTTACGTTTAAGTGCTCTCGCCTGCACCCCCTTAACTTAACCATTATTTGGATGGGAGGGTAAGATGTATTGACGAACATGACGCTCTAGTCAAGACATGAAAAATGTCACAATCCCGTCGTGTACGTCGTCGAACGCTTCCCGCCAGATGTGGCCCATACCCACGGGGGGGGTATGTGCCGCTGCTATGCTTGTATGTGCCACGGGAGATTGACACTTAGTATGTATACCCAGGAATGACGAGAACACACAAGGGTGGTTTTCGCACATGAACGTTAAGAAATACCCAACTTCGGTAGCGTCGACCCGACAAGTGCAAAGAATAAATGCCATGGTCCCAGCTGGAATTGAACCCAAGCATTCTGCGTGGCAGTGGAGCATCTTACAACAGAGCTACGCCATGTCTCGGAACTTATCTTCAAATAGACGCTAACCTTCGTGAAAACGTCAATGGTGGTTGCAGGGCTGCCCACCCAATTTTATAAACATTACATATGTACTCTTTTGATACAGCCGTCACGTCGGGTTAATGTCGATTGCGGTTAGGTGCCCTGCGCTGTAGTTAATTTTTGTAGAGTGGCCAGAACCAACATCGTTGCGAGCATCAGCGCTTCATATCAGCTTCTGGTGCTGCTAATACGCATGTTCGAGAAGGCATCGTTGCGTGAGTGCAAACAACTGATTGTGTAAGCATCTGCAACTCTTCAACATATGTCTGTGCGTGTAACATTTGTACATATATAAGCGTCATTTTATGATGTGTCGCTCAATAAAAAATTGCAACACGGTCACCTTCCTTCCGCATGGTTCGCATAACGTCAATTCCCAGGTACGTGGGATCTGCCTTTTTTTCTCTTAAAGCATCATCATCATCAGCCTGACTATACGTCCACTGCGGGAGAAAAGCCTCCCTCAAGTTCTGCCAGTCAACTTGGTCCTGTGCTTGCTGCTGCCAATTCATCCCCGCAAACTTCTTAATCTCATCGGCCAATCTAACCTTCTGTCTCCCCCAATCCCGCTTGCCTTCTATAGGAATTGATTGATTGATTAATTGATTGGTTGTTTGATTGATTGATTGATTGATTGATTGATTGATTGATTGATTGATTGATTGATTGATTGATTGATTGATTGATTGATTGATTGATTGATTGATTGATTGATTGATTGATTGATATGTGAGGTTTAACGTCCCAAAACCCCGATATGATTATGAGAGACGCCGTAGTGAAGGGCTCCGAAACTTTCGTCCACCTGGGTTTTTTTACGTGCACCCAAATCTCAGTACACGGGCCTACAACATTTCCGCCTCCATCGGAAATGCTGCCGCCGCCGCCGGGATTCGATCCCGCATTCTGCGGGTCAGCAGCCAAGTACCTTAGCCACTAGACCACCCACGGCAGGGCCCTTCTCTGGGAATCCAGTTAGTTGCTTTTAACGACCAGCGGTTATCCTGGCTACGTGCTACATGCCAGGCCCATGTCCATTTCCTCTTCTTGATTTCAACTATGATATCCTTAACCCCGGTTTGTTCCCTAATCTACTCCTCTCTCTTCTTCTCTCTTAAGGTTATACCTACCACTTTTCTTTCCATTGCTAGCTGCGTCATCCTCAATTTAAGCTGAACCCTCTTTGTAAATCCCTCTGCTTCCTCATTTGTTCCTCCTCCTCCTATTTGTAAATCTCCACGTTTCTGCTCCGTAGCTAAGCGCCTGCAAGATGCAGCTGTTCTATACCTTGCTCTTGAGGGATAGTGGCAATCTACCTGTCATGATATGAGACTGCTTGCCAAATGTTCTCCACCCAATTATTATTCTTCTAGAGACTTAAATCTCGTGGCTTGGCTCCGTGGTTATTTCCTGTACTAAGTAGACATAGTCTTTTACAACTTCAAGTGCATTGTTACCTATTTTGAAGAGTTGCTCTCTTCCGAGGTTGTTGTACATTGCTTTCGTTTTCTGCAGATTAATTTAAAGACCTACATTTCCACTCTCCTTGTCTGACTCCGTCATGATGAGTTGCGATTCGTCCCCTGAGTTACTTAGTAATGCAATCTCACAGGTGAAGCACAGGTTACTAAGGTACTCTTTATTAACTCTAATACCTATCTGTTCCCATTCTAGGCCTCTGAACACCTCCTGTAAGCACGCGGTAAATAGTATTGGGGAGGTTGTATCCCACTGCCTTACACTCTCCTTGACTGGTATTCTGTTGCTTTCTTTATGAAGCAGTATGGTAGCAGTTGATCCCCTCTGGATTTTTTCAGGGATGTTTATATATGCTTCATTGACGCCCTTATTCCGCATTGTCTGCATGACTAGTGATATTTCTAGTGAATCCCATGCCTTCTAGTAATCTATGAAGGCTGTGCATAGTGGTTGGCTATACTCTGAGCATTTATCTATTACCTGATTGATAGTATGAATGGGGTCGATTGATGAGTAGCCTGTTCAAAATCCTGCTTGGTCCTTTGCTTGATTGAAGTGTAATGTTGCCTTAATTCTGTTAGCAATTACCTTTGTAAATAGCTTGTGTACTACGGAGAGCAAGCTGATAGGCCTGTAATTCTTCAAGTCCTTGTCCTCTCCTTTCTTATGTATTAGGATGATGTTAGCGTTCTTCCAAGATTCTGGTACTCTTCGCGTCAGGAGACACCTCGTAAACAGGGTCGCTAGTTTTTCTAACACAATCTGTCCTCCATCTTTCAGCAAATCTGATGTTACCTGATCCTCACCAGCAGCTTTGCCCCTTTGCATGCTCCCCAAGGCTTTTCTGACTTCTTCTATCATTACAGGTGGGGTGTCACCTGGACTGCCGCTAGTTCTCATACAATGATCGTGGTTGTCCCGGCTACTGTGCAGATATTTCTAAAACCCCTCCGCTGATTTAACTCTACTATCCCACATGCATACGTCAATTTGCTATAGCATACAGAGCACCAAATGACATTCAACCACATCTGCCTGCCAGAGCCCCCTCTTCATTTCACAATGATCTCCACCCTCTCCCCCTCAAAAAAAGAAAAAAAAAGAAAATTCTACCTACGCGCCTTGGCGTAGTTCACGTGACTGGTTGGCACGTCAGTTAGAGAAAGACGAAGCCTTCGTTCCCGTCACGCGAACAGCCAAGCAGGAGAAGGAAGAAGAGGAGGCGCTGCTGCAGCGAAAAGTGGGTGTATGCCACAGCACGAGAACAAAAACGGGTCTTTCATTTTGGAACCGACGCTGTGGTTACCACCGTGGGATCGCACTTTGAAAGGGTACCCCCTGCAGCGTGAAAAGGTCGCGCCATCCGTGTGCGGAAGAGAGGGTGCGAGAATCGCGGTGCGTGAAAGGCCTGCTACCACCTGCGGCATGACGACGCCACCAGAGAAGGCTCCGGACGCCGTGGCTAGCACCAGCACCGCGACTGAGGAGAACGATGACGATACCGACAACGAGTTATTCAGCGCGTACGTCGACGTCTCGAGCGACTACGAGAGCGACAATGACGAGACTGGCAAGTCGTCTGCAGCGGCGATGAAGTTCGCGATAAGCGCCGCCGCATTCCACGCAAAGTCGACTGACGCCTTAACAGCCGGTGCCCACTCCTCCGCGCTCAACCTGAATGCAACCCTCCAGCCATCGGCGAGCAAGACGAACCCCTGGCAGCCGAACGTCTGCGAGTACGAGGAGACGACGCCGCAGTGCCGATTGCGGGTCAAGCGCGACATCATGGACCTCCTCAACGACCCGCCGCCGGGAGTGTACGTCGCGCCGGCGGAGCACAATATCACCGCGATGGACGCGCTGGTGCTGGGCCCCGATGACACGCCGTACGAGGGCGGGTTTTTTCACTTCGTGATACAGTGCCCGCCCGATTACCCGATCAAGCCACCACGCGTTCGCTTCATGACCACCGGCTACGGCTGCGTGCGCTTCAACCCGAACCTGTACGAGTGTGGCAAGGTGTGCCTCAGCATACTGGGCACCTGGACAGGGCCAGCCTGGAGCCCCGCGCAATGCATCGCCAGTGTTCTCCTCTCGATCCAGTCGCTGCTCTGTGAAAACCCGTACCACAACGAGCCAGGCTACGAGACCGAGAGGCGGCCGGGGGACTCCAAGCGGTACAACCTCATCGTGCAGCACGAGACAATCCGCGTGGCCGTGTGCGACGCCATCGAGGCCTGCCTCAACGGATCTTCGACTTGTCCAGCTCCCCTGAGGGAGGTCATGCTCAAGACATTCCCGGACTACTACGACAAGTACGAGGCAGTTGTCGTGTCCAACAAAGATCTAACGGGCATGTTCATGGACGATCCGTTTGGCGCCAAGAGGGGCCAGTTTCAGTACAAGACTTTGCTCGAGAGACTGCAGGCGTTGAAAGGACGAGTGCAAGAGTGGTTAAATGCTACGCGTGAACGGAGCGAATGAGCGGCTGAACTTCTGTGTTGCTGCCCCGGAAAAGAGTCAATGGTCGAATCTGTAACAGTGTTTTTTTTTTAATTTCTGCGGAGTTATCTCGGGACGGAAGTAAAAGAAGACAAGCACATTAAAGAATCTTCACGCCGCCTGAAACAATGACATTATATTTGATTCGGAGTCGTTCGTTTTGACATTTCGTTACGTTATGGAAATGCAAATTACTAATAAAGATAAATGGAACAACAAAGCGCTGTGTTTTTTTTTGTGCCGTCAAACAAAACATTATAAATCTGACGGAAAAAAATGAAATAAAATCAATGGTAAAATAACAATCGATCGTCTACCTAAATACAAGATAAGGATTCCTCACCGCCCATGAAGTTGCGTACGGTATGGTATGAAAAACTTTATTTAGGTCCGTCGGGGCGTGAACTAGCACGTAGCGGGCCGCTCCCACGTCGGGACAAATAGGCCTAACGTCTCCGTCATGCCGTGGGCCCGTTGGAGCTTCCCACTTGGACAATGTAACGTTTTCAACCCGAAATAGAGGGCACTGCCAGAATATATAATAATTTGGCAAAGTCTGAGCAAAGCACGCATTAGTTTGATGCCTAAATTTCTGTATAAATTTTGTGCAAGAGTGCGGGACTGGGATATACCCCGACAAACATTTTTCTTCAGTATAACAGCAATATTTCCTGGGGGGGGGGGGGGGGGGGTATGCAGCTGCCCATTTTAGAGCATTCTTTGAAATGGTAATTTTTCGCTTTTTATGCCACAGCCAAAAAAATGAGGGGGGGGGGGGGCACGGATTTGGTGTACCACTTCCTGGCTATAGCCTATATGTCACTGCGTTCTTGTATACCCTTTGTACCGGGCGTTTCCTCCTATTAGAAAAAGTGGCGCAAAATGGCAGCTTGACACATTGTTGCCCTCTTAATGCGCATAACCTAATACGCATGGCACACACACAAAATAAAACACGCAGGCACGGAATAGAAAGATGGCGGACGCGCTTAGCGACAGTCTTCGCCTGATTATGGATCACAATACCTTGGATGACAAATATCTATGTACGCCCATCGCCAGTCAGCTATTTTGAAACATCGATTCGCCATTTGGTTACACGCCCTTATTCACCAAGCGCAGCTATCGAGTCATATACCCGTGAATATCTTTGAGGTGTACAAAGGAAATTAGGATAAACTTAAGGGCTCCTTTCTGATTGTTAGAAATTGTATCAATGAGAACTAACAGGCAATTGTGCCACGGAAAGTATAAGGGATAATAATAGAAGTACTTGTCATGTAAATGTGAAAGAAAGAAAAGTGGATGAAAAGATAACTTGCCGTGTGCAGGAACCGAACCTGCGACCTTCGAATAACGTGTACATTGATACGAATGAAGTGCATGCATGAAGCAGTGGTTGGCATTGCATTGCAATCCTGCACACACGTTTTTACGTTCCCATAAGGCAAAACATAGCCGAAGGGCTATTGACGAAGTGCCCTGCTGCTATTAAGCCACGCTAACTTAGCATTGCATAGCGTTGTATGGTACAGTATTGCGAGGGGGAGGAAAAGAGAAGTACGGGCGAGGAACAGGGAAAAGAGGACGGAATAGAATAAAAGGATAGTATAGAACGTAAGAAAAGAGAGGACAGTAAAGAAATAAAGGGAAGGGAGAAATAGATAGAGACAAAACGAGAAAAAGAAAGTAAGAAAGAAGAAATAAATAAAGAAAGAGAGAGAGAGAGACGAGAAATAGCGGAGTAGATAGACGGAAAGGGAAAAACGTGAAAGAAAGGCAGAAGGACTGAAGTATAAAAAAACAGAAAGACAAAAGAAGAAGGACAAAGAGGAGGAAGGAAGGAGGAAAGACAGAGAGGTTAGCCAAAGACAAAGAAACAAATATATATATATATAAATAGGGACAAGAACAAACAAAAACAGAGAAGGAGCAGTAAGCAAAGAAAGGATGAAAAAAGAGGGAAGGAATGGGGCTAGCTAGCAGATGACCAGCTGCGATGTGAGACATGTAAGCGGGATTTAGTGCGAGCCATTTCAGTTTTTTTTTTTCTTATTTATTTTTGTTTTGAAAATAAATGATTTTTATGCACATTTGACCGTGCACCACAATTTCGTCTATGATTTCGTGAAGTTTAATTTCCCCCTACATAAACTACCCCGTTCTTACGTTTTGTATAAATTGATCAGACCACCCGATTCTTGGCCAATTCCTCACATTGGGTGTGAGCTACAACGTCTGATCTAAAATACGATCTGCACCATGCACATAATTATGCTCACAAATCAGGCATATACTCCACTGTAGGAACTGAGGGGGGAGGGGTGATGCATATTCCGAGTTGAATTACGTAATTCCATCATTTGGTCGCTTTGGTCCCACCCACGCACTGGCCACTGGCCAGTTCTATCCGGCGCGTGCTGTGTGCGCACGAGAGACGAAGAAGAAGAAACGGACATCGAGGAAGACGCAGGCTCACGCTGCTGTCCGGCTGACGCTCCTTTTAAAACGTAAGTCCGAGGCTCGGTCACTGCCGCGCCCGGGTCCATTTCTGTGCGTAAGCTTTCGCGCGCGGTTCACTTGTACGGCTGCAGCGTTGTGCGATGTAAACTGTATCCTGTCAGTTTACATGCCTTGCCCTTATGTCGCAAACGGCCCGGTTAGACACAAACCAAATCATTCCGACGGATAATCAGGCTTGGGAAAGCATGAGGTTGTGTGAATTTCAGTCTTTTTTTAACTGTAATTCACCAATCAAAAGTCTGTTCTGCGAACTTCCGCATGGTGACGGAAGGGTTAAGAATGGTAAGCAGAGAACCAGCCTCATGCAGCACGAGAACACAAGGAAGGCCGTAAGTGTCTTAGAGAGAAAGCTCACTTGCTGAAAAACTCGTCCTGCTTCGGGGATCGAACCCTGTACCAACGCTCTGTCGGTGTGGTCGCGATACCAATCGAGCTTAAAGTAGGAAGATATATTGGCAGCGCGTGGATGAATTCATCGACAAATCAAAGCGCGTGGAATCAAAGCACACAGGGTTGCCGGGTGGTTGTCTTGAAAGTCTCCAGAACTCGAGATAAAAGTAGCCAAACTAGTCACGTCGTTTAATGTTATCGCCATACTTATGCACTCTAAAGAAATATCGAGTAAAAAGGGTGTCTTTTTGTCCCACAACAATATTCGTCATCAGGCTTGCGTGCGCTTCCTTTCTTGAAAACTTGGCGCTGGCCACTTTCCTATGGAGTATGCAATGTAACCCTGATAATGGGCATGTCGATCATGACCGGAATGTACCGGGCGCGAGGCGATAGCACAAGGATGGAACGCAATATAGATGACGATTATTGTTGTGGGACAAAAAGACACCCTTTTTACTAGCTCTTTTTTTACAGTGTGGCCAAATATAACTGCAGTGATACTATGAGCAGAGTCTTCACTATTGACGAATCAATAAACCCATTTTCGATAAGTAAAACTATATAGTAGTTTGAAAGTATCAAGTAAATAGCCACGGCCCCGACTGGAAATGTTCGTCTCCAAACGGATCGAAAAGTAGCCAATTTGGCGCGAAATATATAGCCACCAACGGCTAATCTGTGGACACATATTGTTGCAAATCAGTTCTGCGAAGACCCACAGTGCTTGTGGCTACTTGCTGTGAGTGGATGGTTGTCAGTTTTTCTTTTTTAGTGTAGTAACCTTGACGTAAATTTAAATGAACTGAAGGGGACAAATAATCACCCATTTCATCGGTGGAATCCTAACCCACAACATCCGCATTAAATGCCTAATGCTCTATAAATCGAGCTACCACAGAATGACACAAAAGGGCACTTCCCCGTTCACTTCGTTTGGCTTTTGCGTGCATGTAATCCGTAATTCGTGGGAGAATTAGCCAGTGCTGCCCGGTTCGTGAGACAAGACGTGCGGGTACACATGAGACATGACAAGGCACTGTAGACTATGGGGGTGTACGAATAGTGAATTTTAGAAACGAGTCTAATAGGAATCAAATAGTGATGACACCGAATTAAATGCGAATACAAATCTAATACCAATAGTTTTCGAATAATAAGACAACAGTTTTCAAGGCAGCTCTAGACCATGCTAAGCTAACAATCTTCAAAACTGCCCAAAATTTCTATACCTTTTTATTTTCGTTTGGTTTGGTTTGGTTTGCTTTATTCAAGGCAAAATATTCACGAGATTTAACAAATATTCACGATATTTAACAAAGAAACATTATGATTTACTTCTAGGCCACGAAATATACCACAGGTTACTGAGGCAAGCTCGCATACATCAGTAATTATAGCTTTCGAAATATTTTTAATTGGAAACTGTAATAGAGAAGATAATACAGTATCGAAGGTGGTACTTTGTCAACAGCTTTTAACTAAAACCTAAACACAATTATTAAGCAATTTTCATGAGTTAAAGCGACACTAAGGAGTAAAACGCGTTTTCGCGCATTAGTAAAGTGCAATTTCACAATCGCGAAAACACCACTCTTATAGCGACACGACACTTGATCAGGGAGAAAACACGCTAAAAGAATCTGTGAGTGGAGACGCCACCTTCAGATTCCCGCACCAAGCACTGTGACGTCATAGAAATATAAAGTCTACTGGGTCCTACGTAGCTTCTAATCAATAAAATTGAAGTGCATTGTAATCGGTGTGTGCCGCAGACCTAGCATACCAAGTTTCGGAAAATTTCATTGACCCAATGTCGTAAAAATACAAACAAAATGCTTTGTGGATTTTTTTACGACACGCGCGAAGATTACGGTGTGAAATTTCAAAATGAAATTTCAACATAGATTTTCTACGTTAATATGGAACTTATTACAATGAAGCTTATGACAATAGAGTTCTGAGGGTGCAGTTTATCAATCGAAAACAACTCATTGTTTTTCTTTAGTGTCCCCCTGTGCGTTTGTGTGTGTGGAGGGGGGGGGGGGCGTGCCTGCGCGCGCCTTTAT